ATTTGTGCAACACGTATTGATATAGCATCATGTCCATAAACATCACAAATTTTTTTAGCTGCCTGAGTTGCATTCTTCCCTTTTTTAAAATAAAATTTTAAAATGTATCGAATTTCTTCTTTCTCTTCACTCATTTTCAAGATGCAATAACTTTTAACTGAATAGATAAATATCACTACTTTTTTGCTACTTTTTCTTTATGATATGTCACCTTTCAAACGCACACAAAGTATTGACAGATCCGATTAATATTATCAAGGTTATGCGATTCTAATTCCATCTGCCGGAAAATACGAAGAAACTTTTTCCCCAACCCAATATATATATATATATATACAGGGTGACCCATTTTAACTTAGGCAGCCAAATAACTCGAAAACCAAGTCCGAGAGAGAAAAATGTTTCAGACAAAAGTTGTATGGTTTCAAGGGGGACATAAGATGGTACCATTGGATTGACCTCGAAGAGTTATTTGAAGGTCACATGAAGGTCACCTTCAATTTCTTAAATGGAACCTACATTTTCTCTTTACATATTCTTGTAGCTTATCTCGAGAGCTTTCCAAAACACTATAATTAAGTACCTTTTCGTTAAGTACTTTTTGAGTTATAAGGCTTGAAATCATTTCTTAATTTTACATAAATCATAAAATATCTTGTAAAATATTCATTTTTCGATTATCTTATATTACTACTTTTATGTACAAAATAATGAGAGGAATCAATTGGTGTAAAGAAAACACATAGTTGTTTCTAAGAAAAAATATGTAATTTGCAATTAACAATTCCATATTTTTTCTTAAAAACAACTGTATGTTTTCTTTACACCAATTGATTCCTCTCATTATTTTGTACATAAAAGTATTAAGGTAAGATAATCGAAAAATGAATATTTTACTAGATATTTTATGATTTATGTAAAATTAAGAAATGATTTCAAGCCTTATAACTCAAAAAGTACTTAATGAAAAGGTACTTAATTATAATGTTTTGGAAATCTCTCGAGATAAGCTACAAGAATATGTAAAGAGAAAATGTAGGTTCCATTTAAGAAATTGAAGGTGACCTTCATGTGACCTTCAAATAACTCTTCAAGGTCAAACCAATGATACCATCTTATGTCCCCCTTGAAACCATACAACTTTTGTCTGAAACATTTTTCTCTCTCGGACTTGGTTTTCGAGTTATTTGGCTGCCTAAGTTAAATAGGGTCACCCTGTATATATATATATATATATATATATATATATATATATATATATATATACATACACAACAGAAAATTATATAAATACTTAATTTTTTCACACATTTTTGATACAAACGTAAAACGAGAATGCAAATCAATTATTTTTTATGTTTAGAAAAAAATGTTGCTAGAGGTTCGTTTTCTTAATATTTTGCATTTTTTATGGATAATATTTTATTTATCTAAAAATAAGATTACCTTTATCAAGCGACGCAATGCCAAGTACATAAAAAATTGAATCCGAAAAATTGGAGCATTGAAAGTCACTGTTCTCGACGCGGCGCTACCAACTTATCCGGAATTTTACGTTAAATAAACTTTTGATTGAAATATTTCAGAAACTAAAGCCGTAATTAAAAATCGAACGTCATTTTTCTTATATAATGTGAATATAAGCTGTCGATTGTGACCAGTTTGAATAAAGTCGGTGTAGTCACTCCCGAGAAATGATAATCGCATGTCAGAATTGTGACATTTTTCATTTTCCATCATAAGGTTCAGACTCATAAACGTATCTTCGCACGCATTCAAAGCAATTTTGTTCCTCAAGCTGCGTTGATATCGCACATATATGATTATTCGCTTTAGTGTGCAAAAATGCTTTAAGAAACAAAACCATTTATGTGTGTACATGTGTGTACATACATGTGATATGTGTATATGTGTATGTATATACGTGTGAAAGATTAATTTATCGCATAACAATTTTCATAAACCTCTTGCTGCTAAAATCTAATGTATGTCGAAAACGGTATCACATAAATATAAAAACTGTGCTAGATAAGACTTATAAGGAGACTAATTTATCGTATTATAACAATATTAAAAAGTCACCCCGTGAAAGTAAACTCTAACATCTAGAAAATAAAAATACGCAACTTATCCTTAGTAAAGATTTTTAAAAAATGCGTGTATATTTTTTGCAGAAATAATATAAACAAAATATTTACAAAAAGGTGATATCCCTCTAGAAACAACCATATAACGGTAAAATAAAATACGTCAAGTACATAAAAAAATATCTTTAAAAAATTTAACATATATTTTCTGTAAAAATAATATAAATTTTTACAAAAAGTAGTGGGATCTCCTAAAAAAAACTTATAAAGGTAAAAGAATACGCATGTACATAAAAAAATTCAAAAAATCTAAAAGAGTGATAAAAATAAAATATTTAAAAACCGATATGAAATCAATACTATTAGCAAAGTACAATAACTTATGATATTAATTCGTAATCGATACTAAATGAGTTAAGATTACTTTAATTCCTAAAGCATTTTTATATGATGTATTATTTATATGATGTATATAATTTAAAAAAGTTTTATATAAATTCTAAATCGCATAAATGACCTTCAGGTTGAAGTAAAATATGAAAACATGGCGTGCCTCCCCTCCCGCTCCGTCGTTTACAAATCTTGAATAAAATAAAAAATTTGATTATACAATATACGTATATACAATGTATATTTGTTAATCCTTTCATTTGATAAGTATAATTTACATTTTTATAAAATAAGCTTTAGACTACGAACATGCAACAGGCAGCCTGTGGGCCAGAAACGACTTACGAAGCTTTTCAATCCGACTTATAACAATTAATTAAACTTTACTTGCAGAGAAAATAAAAAAACTTATAAAAAAGAGATTTCACTGTGCCTAATCTCTATGTGATGATTTCCAGGTAATACAGAAGAGACAAGATATATAAGTTCAAAATTTAGCTACGCGCGTTGCGCGGTCCGTAGTGATTTTAAATTTTACATTGGGCCCATCAAAAATCTAGTTTTTTCCTGTTTTAAACTATATGATTTAAATATGGGGAACGTCAAGTTTTCATATCTTACTTCGACCTGAAGGTCATTTATGCGATTTAAAATTTGTGTAAAACTTTTTTAAATTATATACATCATATAAAAAATGCTTTAGGAATTAAAGTAATCTTAACTCCTTTAGTATTGGTTATAAATTAATATCAGATAATTTATTGTAGTTGGCTAGTAATATTGATCTCGTATTGATTTTTATTTTATTTTTATCACTCTTTTGGATTTTTTGATTTTTTTTATGTACATGGCGTATTTTTTTACCTTTATAAGAGTTTTTTTAGGGGATATTATTATATGAAAGTATTTCTTACGCTGCGGCAAATAAATGATTATAGTAGTCTATAATTTCTTGTCCGGAAAAATTGGTTAAGAACATGTATAAAAACAAGGTAACTGTTGTTATCAGAGGTATTGAAAGTTTTTCTAAATTAATACAAATTTAAATGAGAAAAACCTTAGGACCGTGACGTAGGGTGATGGTACGGAATGACAATTTAAAAAATTAATAATGCTAAGACAGAGCCACGAATGTTAGAAAATAATTTAATAAGGAAATATTTGTCGGAGCAAATAATTATTTAAAAACATTTAATAGACAAACGCACATTTCGATTTTCTACAGATTTTCAATGTCATACAAAATTATAAAGATAAACGCTGAAACTTAAAACAAAGAAGGATCTTCACAACAGTTAAAAATTATTTAAAAACGCAAAAAATAACGGTCGATATTACGCTCGGTGAAAAACCGATATATGAATAAATTCTCAAACAAGATAAATAATAAATGGCTATATTATAAAATGCTGCAAAAAGAGCACAGCCCACCTTGCTATCAAACCTCAAAATGCTATAAATGAAATCGGAGAGAGAAAACGTCTGGTTTTTAATTCCTTCGATGAATCCGTCCAAAAATTAAAAATTAAATGATGTCCATAGAAATGAAAGAGTAAAACTAGACAATTGCGGCCTGTACGCCGATAAACTCCTGACATATGTTGTCGAGGACACCTTCCCGAGTAATTTTATTTATATATATACAGGGTGTCCCAAAAGTCCTGGATCGATCGAATATTTCATAAACTATGCACTTTAGAAAGAAATGTTTCTGACCAAAGTTGTATGGCTTGAAGGGGGCCATCAGATAGTGGCAATGATTTGACATGGGAGAGTCATTTGAAAGTCACGTGAAGATCACCGTCAATTTCTTAAATGGAATTCTCTATTTTTTGTTTTTTATTATTACATATTCGTGTAGCTCATCTCGAGAGCTTTCCAAAACAATATAATAAAGTATTTCTTCATTAAGTACTTTTCGAGTTATGAGGCTTGAAATCATTTCTTAATTTTGCATAAACCATAAAATATCTAGTAAAATATTCATTTTTCGATTATCTTACCTTAATACTTTTATGTACAAAATAATGAGAGGAATCAATTGGTGTAAAGAAAAAACATAGTTTTTTTAAATGTTTTCAAGAAATGTTTTTAAGAAAAAAATATATAATATAAATATGTAATATGTGCATAGTTTATGAAATATTCGACCGATCTAGGACTTTTGGGACACCTTGTATAATAGATGGTATATATTGTGGCGACCAGCTAGGGGAAAAACAGTCACACTCAACAGTTGGCAGAATTGTATAAGCGCGCAGCGCCACTCGAAATGGAGAGAATTCCTTCTCTCCCCCATTGTCCGTGCGATAGTGAACACGTGTAATACGTAGCGCGTTTCAAATATATTTTACATTGTAATATTAATATTGGCCGTCATTTTGGACACCCGATCCTTTATTATCCCCACAGGGGGAATTAATTGGTGACCCCGACGTGATCGGTGACAAGCAACGAACGCCGCAAGACGGCTAAGAAAAGGCTTAATCTAATTTACGCGATCGAGCACGTGGCACAGTCGAGATGTCCGTACAGCGCTCACCGCCTCAAAGCATACACGGCGACGAAGAGGCGCCTGAAAATGCGTGCAGGGATGACCCACTGCGAAATAGGTACGGAGCAATATCGAGGGCCGAGACCGAGACACCTGAAGAAACTGGGATTTATAGCGCCAAGTTGATCAAGTTACCGCCATTTTGGCGAGATAACCCGACAGAGGTTATTCTATATCTAGATACTACCGTACTACCGTTCGTGTCAGACATCGTGACCTTCCCGCCTGCAACGAACAAGTACGACGAACTGAAACGGAGAATCATCGACGCGTTCGGTGAGACGAGCGAAACAAAGCTGCGAAGACTGCTACGTAACCACGAGTTGACGGACGACAAGCCATCTAATTTTCTGCAAAAATTACGTAATTTAGCAGGGGGTCAGTGCAGCGACATTGTTCTACGCACGTTATTTCTGGAACAACTACCAGACAACGTACGTAGTATCTTAGCAATCAGCGAGGTAAGCGATTTATCCAAACTAGCGTTACAAGCAGACAAGATTTTAGATATGTCAAAGGTTAACATAAGCCAGGTCTGTCTTAGCACAAGCGACGCATCAAACGCCAGGAAACCCGAACCTACCTCTGAGATCACAGAGCTGAAAGCCTCAGTAGAAGCCTTAGCGAAGCAATTCAAGAAACTTCAAACTAGACGGCGGAGAAGCCGAAGCAGATCAAGGAATAGACCTCACTACCGTAACAAGTCACCAGCAACAAAGGAGCATACCGATATATGTTACTATCATACTAGATTCGGCAAAGAGGCTTACCATTGCTTAACGCCATGCAAGTGGAAGAAAGAGGACGCGGAAAACTAACTGCGTCGTCTGATATGGCGGGTACCAACGATGCACATTCACCCCGCCTCACAATAACAGATAAAGATAGTCGCATACGTTATCTTGTGGATACGGGAGCAGACGTGTCCGTCCTACCAAAAAAACTAGTCAAAGGCAAAATTACGGCAGGTAATTTTAGGTTATACGCCGCTAACAACACGCCTATCATCACCTACGGAACAAAACTAGTCAAATTGAGCCTAGGATTAAGAAGAAGCATCAAATGGACATTTTTAATAACAGACGTCAAACAGCCTATCTTGGGAGCAGATTTTTTAGCTCATTATGAACTGTTAGTCGATCTTGGACGAAGGACACTCTTGGATTCAACAACTAAATTCGAAATAAGTGGAAAGTTATCAACAACGAAAATAGAAGAACTTACTACCTTCAGTCCAACTAGTCCTTTCGTCGATCTCTTACGGGAATTCAGTGTGATAACCAATCCGGTAAGCCATATAGAGTACAAACCTAAGCATAACGTAGCGCATTACATTGTTACGACAGGCCCACCAGTAGCAGAGCCAGCACGCAGGCTAACAGGAAAAAAATTAGAAATGGCGAAACAACAATTCCAGCATATGTTAGATGCTAACATTTGCCGACCGAGCAACAGCCCGTGGGCAAACCCACTTCATATGGTGCCGAAGAAGAATGGAGATTGGAGAATCTGCGGAGACTACAGACGCCTCAACAGGATAACAGTCCCAGACAGATATCCAATCCCACACTTGCACGATTTTGCACACAGCCTGAGCGGATGCAAAGTGTTCACAACACGAGATTTAGCACGCGCATACCACCAAATCCCATTAGCAGAGGAGGATCGCCCGAAGACAGCCGTCATAACACCCTTTAGCCTCTACGAATACAACGTGATGCCTTTTGGTTTAAGGAACGCCGCGCAATCATTCCAAAGGTTGATGGACAACGCACTTCGTGAACTGGACTTCTGCCATTGTTACATAGACGACATACTTATTGCATCTCCGGACATGGGAATACACCGTAAGCACTTACGTTTAATTTTCGAACGACTACAACAATACGGCCTTTCCATCAACGTCGCTAAATGCAACTTCGCCAAAAACAAGGTCAGTTACCTAGGTTACGTAATCAACGAGCAAGGAACTCAACCGTTAGACGATAAGGTTAAAGCCATTAAAGAATTCGAGAAACCAACGAATGTCAGTGAACTTCGTCGTTTTCTAGGAATTATAAACTTTTACAGACGTTTCATGCCAAATGCAGCACAAATACAAGCACCGCTCCATCAATACCTTCAAGGAGCAAAGAAAAGAGACAAACGCGCAATCCAGTGGAACCCAGAAACAGAAAAAGCTTTCGACGAATGCAAGCAGCAACTAGCACACGCAACGTTAATAGCACATCCAATTACAGACGCAACCCTAGCTTTAAAAACTGACGCATCAGATACAGCGATGGGAGCAGTATTGGAACAATATAACGAAGGAACATGGGAACCTCTTGGCTTCTTTTCTAAGAAACTCAGTACAACACAAAAAAACTACAGCACATATGACAGAGAGTTGCAAGCTATATACAGTGGACTAAAGTTCTTCCGTCAAGTAGTCGAAGGACGCAAGTTACTGATCAAAACAGATCACAAACCACTTACTTACGCATTCTTGCAGAAATCCTCCAAATCCACGCCAAAACAGACAAGACAGTTGGACTATATAAGTCAATTCTCCACGGAAATAGTATACATCAAAGGAGACAACAACACAGTAGCAGACGCATTATCACGAATAAGTGCAATCGACATGCCGATCATCGTTACCACAGAAGAATTAGCGCAAGAACAAGAAACTGATGAAGAACTGCAGAAAATACTACAAGAAGGAACTCACTCACTCCAATTGAGGAAACTCCGCCTTGACAACACCGAAACTACCATCTACTGCGACATCTCACAAGAAGAAGTACAGCCATACGTACCAGTAACATTACGAAAACGAATATTTGACAATACACACGGACTATCTCATCCGAGCGGACGCACGACGAAACAACTAATAAGTCGACGATTTGTTTGGCCCGATATGAACAAGCACATTAACGAATGGCAAGAACTTGTCTACCATGTCAAAGGAACAAGATACACAGACACAACAGAACCGCTCCAGAACACATTCCAATTCCTAATACAAGATTCAATCACATACACATGGACATCCTGGGACCACTACCCACTATCCAGGGATATCGTTACTGTGTTACCATAATAGACAGATTCACAAGATGGCCGGAAGCAATACCAGTGAAGGATAAAACGGCAGACACTATCATCGGTGCTTTTTTCGACGGCTGGATCGCTCCATTCGGCGCACCAGAAACCATCACCACAGATCAAGGTACCCAATTTGAGTCATTACTATTTAAAGCTTTAACAAATTTGATTGGCAGCCAACGTACGAGGACATCCGCTTAAAATGGAATGATAGAGCGATGGCATCGCTCGCTGAAAACGGCAATCCGTTGCCATGAATCGAAAAACTGATTAGAAGCACTGCCAGTAGTACTCCTCGGACTATGATCCAGTTATAAGGAAGACATAAAATCGACAGCGGCAGAAATGGTATACGGAATCACACTACGCCTTCCAGCAGAATACTTCTACGACGAACAAACGCAACCAAATCCATACATTTTTGTAGAACGTTTTAGGGAACAAATGAGAAACGTCAGACCTGTGGAAACAGCACACCATACCAAAAGACGAGCTTTCACACACGGAACACTACAAAACTGTACTCATGTTTTTGTAAGAGTTGATCGAGTCAGAAGGCCACTAGAAGCACCCTACGAAGGCCCGTTCCTGGTAATGGAGAGACTGACAGACCGCCTATACAAAATACAAATCCATGGAGAAGCGGTAAATATATCAATATAGAGACTGAAGCCAGCATATATAGAAACACACGCCACAATCGGAAGCCAGCCAACGGAAGTAACCGAAGTCAAAACCACAACCAGGACACTCAACAAAAAAGTCAAATTCGTAACTCAGCATTAGCTGAGTCACTCGAGGGGGAGCCCTGTGGCGACCAGCTAGGGGAAAAACAGTCACACTCAACAGTTGGCAGAATTGTATAAGCGCGCAGCGCCACTTGAAATGGAGAGAATTCCTTCTCTCCCCCATTGTCCGTGCGATAGTGAACACGTGTAATACGTAGCGCGTTTCAAATATATTTTACATTGTAATATTAATATTGGTCGTCATTTTGGACACCCGATCCTTTATTATCCCTACAATATATTGTGACGTTGCCGTCCTGTCGCGCGTCCATCCGCCCCGATATTTTTAACGGGGCGCGGGCCGAGCGGCCGTGCCAGAATCTACGCCGAGAGAACAATATCGAGCTCCCCGAAGAGACGAGCATTATTGTTATTTTTAAATTAAAAATGAACACAATTTAAGGCTCTCAAAATTAACAAATTAAACTAAGCAATAATAATAAGCCATAAGAGCCAACGCAGTTATACGGCGTATTGTTTGAAGGAATTAATCCATACACATGATCTCAAATCAGACAATCAATCTTCTTTATTAACATCAAACGTTTCGGACTCACTTCGAGCCTTCTTCAGTGAATCTAATAAGACAAAAAAACACAGTAAAACAGAATAAAAAACGCAGATATCAAACCAAAGAGGAAATACATAATCAACATACGTGCATATTCGCAAAGAACGTCGTGATCCCGTCAAAGCCCATCAACTCGAATGTCCCCGATGCAAGCAGCTCTTACAACGGTGCAAAACGCAAAGAGAGATGCACTGACAAAATAAATGTGCCATATATAGCTGAAGTTTTTTAAGATAAGAAGGTCAACACTGACCCAAAATCTACTCACTTGGACACGAGAAGACGAGCCGAGACGGACACAAAGCAACTCATAACGCACATGGTCGACAGTATAAAAAGATTCAAACTCTAACGACGAAATGACGTACAAGTGTGATCGACAAAACAATTCGCATACTTAGAGGACAAAAGCAATCCCCTCATAAACAACAACCGGTTTGAACTAAAAATATGTTCACAACCGATGATACCACTAAATCCTCGATATACTTTCGATAATCGATAGAGCCGAAGTATTCAATTTCAAAGTGTCACTCCGGAGATTCAAGGCGTTTCTTTGGCGCTTAATATATATCATCTCCAATATTAATCTCTTTTCTAAAAATGCTTCCTCATCCAAAATCTCAACGTGGTCAAAGTCTAAGGTGTGATCCAAAGCTCTGTGCTCAGCAATGACAGACGTAAGGTTCCTCTTATGCTCTCTCATCCTCGTCCTCAATAAGCGTCCCGTCTGTCCCACATACGATGCATTGCAATCCACGCAGTTAACTTTGTACACTATATTACTGCGTGAGTCTTTCTCCAGCCTATCTTTGCCGACTTTAATGAGCTGTCGCAAATTATTTATCCCAGTATATGAAAGACGTACATCCAGATCTCCGATGCAATGTCGAAAACGCTCAGAAAAATCCTTGATATACGGGACATTAAAATAAAAGTCCCGTATATCAAGGATTTTTCTGAGCGTTTTCGACATTGCATCGGAGATCTGGATGTACGTCTTTCATATACTGGGATAAATAATTTGCGACAGCTCATTAAAGTCGGCAAAGATAGGCTGGAGAAAGACTCACGCAGTAATATAGTGTACAAAGTTAACTGCGTGGATTGCAATGCATCGTATGTGGGACAGACGGGACGCTTATTGAGGACGAGGATGAGAGAGCATAAGAGGAACCTTACGTCTGTCATTGCTGAGCACAGAGCTTTGGATCACACCTTAGACTTTGACCACGTTGAGATTTTGGATGAGGAAGCATTTTTAGAAAAGAGATTAATATTGGAGATGATATATATTAAGCGCCAAAGAAACGCCTTGAATCTCCGGAGTGACACTTTGAAATTGAATACTTCGGCTCTATCGATT